AAAAAAACAAATCTGAAGGAAAACAACATATACAACCCAAACTTGCAGCTTGACACCAGAAATACCAGTATTTTTGGATACACAAACCATCCTGTGAACCAGCAGAAATACATTTGACATAAAACATAGACATTCATACCCAAATCTCTACAGAAACAAACCATCGCATTATTGTTTCAAAAAAGTACACACACATCTTTTGTCAATGGGAGTGTGCATTGATTAATGTGCCTTTATTGACACCAATGTGTATGTTTTCCCCCCATTAAAACAAATCTATGTTTGATTTGGAACTGGTAGGAAACAAGTTTCAGGGAGAGAAGTGAGGATATCCATGGAAATTGGCATGGTAGATCTGCCCATCTATACTAGAAAGGAAAACTGTGTTCAACTGATCAATCGTCCTTTAAAATTCTCCATGCAGCACTGGGAACGGAGCTCATATTTAGCAAAGCCAAGAGTTGCATTACCATCCATCTCACACAACCTGAATGGCTAGGATATGGAGAAAAGATTACAAAAACGGCAAATGAAAAGGTCAACATCATTTGTACAACAAGATGTGTCAAAGACCAGCCTTGTCAACTTGCAAACGATTATAACTTGCAGTTGTATGCTCCTTGAATTCATCACATCCTTTAGTACTTTTATATATATGAATATTTTGGATTTATTTTGGTACACAGGTTGGGAAATAAACCTTCACTTGTCTTATTCTCACTGGCTGGGGATAAAGAGATGCATTTGGTTTCCCCCCCCCCCTGGAGCTCTAGAGGTGATGGCTGCTGCTTTGTTTCATGGACTTTGAAAAAAATTTGAAGCACTGGATGGGTTGTTCCCATAATTTTAAATGGACGTCTTGTCTTGCACTTAGTATGAGTGTATAAGTGCACACAAGTGTGTGTGCTCTTACAGAAAAAGGATTTTAGATAAATTGCAAAAAACTTTGATGAAAGAAAGACATTTTCCTTGTCTCACTCTCCGTCTGGAGGAATTTTGTGGGGCTTTAAACATCCTGGTTGAGATATTTTGTGTCCAAGCAGCCTAAACTGATGAGAACGTTGTTCTAAGGTTTTTCCCCTCCCTGCTCTATTCATAGGTATTTTTTATACATGAAAACATGCAGCCAGGTCCTGTGTGTTGATTAGGCTCTTTAGAACATTTTCAAGGATTTCAGATTCCTTCTGAATAGTGGTCTGACAATCCAGAAAACTGCAAATTAGAAGCCTTCGAGGCTTAGCTAGGCCTAGTTTCCACCAAGCTTCCTGCTTCCAGCTTGCACTTGGGCAGGAAAAGGAAGCTTGGTTAGAACTAGGCCTAGCTGAGTCTCAAAGCCCTCTAATTTTGGCCTTTCTCCCAGGTGCATCACACCCAGGTGTTTGAAAAAAAGAAAATCCCATCCCAAATGCTCTTTGCTTTCAGGGTTTTCGTTTTGCTTAAAACCTTCCAGAAGCAGAACGTCTTTGGACCTAAATCCACCTTTGCTGTTCTTGCATTATGTCTGGTTATTTTCCAGTGGCTGAATGGCTTTCCAGTCGTGAATCCATTAACAGAGCCAAGATTCCTGAGCCTTCTATAGCAATGCTTGAAGTCTAAAAATAACCACGTCTGAATATGCAATAAACCAAAAGAAATGAATAATGAGAGGAATGACAAAAGGCAGTGAAGCGAGGCCCTGAATTTATAATGCTGGTTTTCAATGATTAGATCACAGGGCATAACAGATTATAGCTTGGGGGGGGGGAATCCTATTTCACATTAGAATTTCAAGCATAGCCCAGTCATAATGGTCAGGTGCCATTTTCATTCATTTTTAATTTTTTAACATTTGTAGCCTGCCTTTCTCCCCGTAGAGAACTAAGATGGCTTACAAGACTAAAACAACATTTAAAACTAAAATTTCAATACACTATAATTAATAAGAATTGTGTGCTTTCAAGTCAGTTCTGATTTACGGAGACCCTTTTCAGGGTTTTCTCAGTAGAGTAGAGAGCACTAAGTGCACCATGCAACACTTTTAATCATGTGGTGAAATCAAATTCTGGCTTCACGGTACATGTTGCTGTGTCATTCGGAAAAAGCCCAACTTTGCTTCATGTTTCCTTATCACCCGTTCACATAAAATTTCACCATGGTATTTCCATAACCACCAACGAATTCAATACGTTCAATTTATCGGAGCAATTGAAACAGCCTTGGCTATCTTATAATCACATCTGTCTACCCTGTTCTGAGATCATAGAAATCAATCTATATCAGGTCAACTTGACCCAGATCCCAGATTTTGCTGAAGATGATAACATCCTTAGAAAATGGTGCCTTACAATTAGTAGAGGAAGAATAGGTTTCTATCCTAATGCAATTACAGTCTACGTGATACCAGGGGTGGGAAAGGGAGAAAGCAAATGTATGCTGGAATTCAGTGGTAAATAAAGGAGATCCATTAAATCAGTGGGGATTTGGTGAATCCATTGAGTCAATGGCCCTACATGAGTGACACTACCCTACAGAGCCCTGCAGAGATTTCTAGACCTCTAGGGAAAAAACAGAAGCCTCACCCGACCAGATAGGTGAGATATAAATAAAATAGATAAAATAAATAAAATATGTTAATCACAGCTGGCATTTATCTCAATCGAGAGTTAATTCCAGAATAAAACAAGACAACCATTTCCAATCCTATCAAAATTCATCAGGGTTTTATGATATACATCCTTTCACTGTTGCAATAATTCCAGGCAATATCAGCTTGTTTAATTCCACAAGCTTTATTTCCCTGCATTGCTTCTGTACACCATATGCCCGCAAATACTTCAGTGCTGTTGTAAAAATACAATACAGAAAAAAACTACAAGCACAAATGCTTAAAAATATATGAAAACTAAAGTTGTAGGCAGAAATTAAATCATTTTTTCCACTTGTAAGCTTTCAGCTATAAAAGTTATAGGCAAGAGCTTAAATCATATTTGAAATAAAGGAGCTTAAAAAGTGTAATAAAAATATCAAAAGAGAGTTTAAATTACATTTTAAAAATGCAAGAGCTTACAGCCTAAAAGACACAATCAAAAATCAAAAGGCAGAGAATACAACTCTGCAAAAGAAAAGTCCTTAAAAAGTTTTTTTTTCCATAGAAAATGACTTTCTTAGCCTCTAACACACAAAGAGCAATTCTAAATAATGTCCTCACCCAGCCAAGACATTCTTGTGCCACTCTGCATCTATGGAGGAAAATCCATGGTGATTGTTGTTGTTATCTCTCTCTGTGTGGTGTAGCATGATTGTTTGTGTGTGTGGGGGGGGTATCTTCCTATATTTACAATCCTTTCAATTGTTTTCTCTTCCATCAATCTACAAACAATCCTCTAGCTCCCAGATTTTTTTTTTCAATAGGAATCTCAACTGAAGTTTTTGTAACTCCAAAGATCTGTACCTGAGAATCTGGCAAGCTGCCATTATGACAATTACATCATTGTTTCGAATGAAATTTGGCAGAATTTGGAGGACTAAAGGCCTGTTGCTTCATGGCCCTGGAACCTCATAATATGGTAACTCCAAAGTATTGGAAGTATGAAGAGTGCATATGATAAGTTCTGGATCCTTTGTTTGTGCTTTGTTATTTGTAGAAGATATTAAACTCTAGGATTGTTATGAACAGAGACCTTGCTCAGCCAGAGAACTGGTTCATTGTTTTGCAATTATAGTAAACTATTGCTCAAGCCTCAATTCTAAAAGCACTTGAATTTTCAGGGCTGCTTCTTCTATACCTCCCCTTAATTATTTTAACAGACAATTTTTCACAACTTGACACTTCCATCATTCAGCACTTCATTTCTTGAATCAATTATTCCTTAAAAATAGCTAGTGTATTCATGTATTTAGGTGTATTTGTCTTTTCTCCCAATAAGGGAACTTGGAGCAGTTCACAGCATTAAAAAGAATAGAATTTAAAACACAATGAGATATGCATTAAAAACAAACTACAAAACCAATTAGAATACATTGAACAATTAAAACAGGTAAAACATTAAAAACTAACTTTTTTTAAAAAAATGGCATTCAGGGACTCAGTTGCGATTGTTAAATGTCTGTTTGAAAAGGCGGGGTCTTCAGCTGTTGGCAGAAGGCTCAAAGGGAGGGGACCAGCCTTATCTCCCAAGGGAGCGCATCCCATAACCTAGGAGCTACCACAGAGAAGGTTTTTGCTCAAATCCCCATCAGCATTTAGGCTCATTTAGGAGAATGTTGGCTCCAACATCAGTGGGATGGGAAATCCACCTCGGGTTTTAATCTGAACATTACAGGGCCTTTAAAAGGGACCAGAACTGAGTACAACAGCTTCTCTTAGAGGAAAGATTGGACTGCCAGAATTTCATACATCATACAGTGGTGCCTCGCTAGACAGTTACCCCGCATGACAGTTTTTTTCGCTAGACATTGACTTTTTGTGATCGCTATAGCAATTTGCAAAACAGTGATTCCTATGGGGGAATTTCGCTGGACAATGTTTGGTCCCTGCTTCGCAAACCGATTTTCGCTAGACAACGATTTTGGCAGCTCCCTCCATGCTCGCAAAACAGGTGTTTTTGGGACCTAAGCTTCGCAAGACAGCGATTTAAACAGCTGATTGGTGGTTCGCAAAGCAGCTTTCCTATGGCCGATCTTCGCTAGACAACGATGATTCCTCCCCATTGGCACGCATTAAACCGGTTTCAGTGCATTCCAATGGGGAAATGCTTTTCGCTAGACGATGATTTTGCTAAAGAGCGATTTCAGTGGAACAGATTATCATCGTCTAGTGAGGCACCACTGTATGACGTCCCGAGATATGAGAAAACAGCTTTCTTGGTTCACTTTTTTTTAACATGCACACAAACCAGAAACACACCATGCTCAACAATGGTGCAATGAATGATCTCATTGCACCGAGGTCAACGTTAGATGTCTCTTTTGCACACACACAGACGGACAGAGGAAAGCACCACAACCCCCTTACTACTTACTGTGGCTGTGCCTGAGACAGTTTGTGCATTTGAATCGCTTGTGTTCTGTTCGGAGTGCGTCTGCGCAGGCGGGTACATATTTAGCGTGTGCTCTGGAACTGTGGTTTGCCCTGTGTAGTCTGGAGTCGGGTGAGGGTGGGGCGCGGTATATTCTGCTGGGATACCATTCTGAGGCGGAGCGAACTGGGCCGAAGCGTAAGGCTGTGCCATTGTGTCAGGAGGTGCTGTCGCTTCCTGGTTACCCTGTAACAATTGCAGAGGAAGGAAAAAAGCAAAGCGTTGAGGCGACAAGAGCTGAAAACACATGTATCCACTATTCCATGCATGGCGTGCCACCGACTCAGTGCAGCCACAAGGACAGAAAGAAGCCACAGGTGACATCCTGAACTTACAAGCCCAATGTCCTCGGAGAAGATGGTCTTATCAAGTGATAACACACTGATCTGATCAGGGAAGGAGTTTCGGCTACCAGCGTGGTAGGAATGTCCTCCTTCATCCAAAGGGCAGAAGACTATTGTCTTCCATTCCACCCGGATAGTTTCAATGGAGGGACATCAGGGTATAAAAATCCTTAGCGTGTTCCAGGTTATAGTCGTCCATGAAAAGCTGGATTCAACCTTGTGGACCCAGGGAACAATGGGTATAAAAATCCTTAGCGTGTTCCAGGTCATAGCAGGCTTTCTGTTGGGGGATAGAAGAATTGCCATCCACGAAAAGCTGGACTCAACCTTGTGGACTCAGGGAACAAGACAGCAGGTATGTACAACTTTCTCTGCTCCATTTGAATATATTTTTCACATGTTGCATCCCCACTGAGCATCCATACAATAAACAACCCATACAATAAACACCGGGGGCGATCTGTCTTCTTTATCACTCAATCAATGGGCCCTCACTGGGGTTCTGGATGGTTCAAAATCTCCCGTTAGCAGGTGCCTAGTTGCGCAAGAGGCCTGGATCATGACCCACACCTCATTAATGGTGTGTCTGTTTGGGGCAATTTGGTAGCAAAATGTATGCAGTTACGCAAGACCGATTAAAATGGTGATAGGATTCTGGCCAATAATCTTAAATCCTACCTTTCTCTGGATCAGTCCCCTCGGTTTTAAAACCACTGCTCATAGGACTGACCGAATGTTAACTTTTGCCCTAGAATAATCTACACCCTACCTTTCTATGAAAAATGTAATCCTCATATTATGTAAGCCACATATTAATATTTTAACTGATAACAAGTAAAAATAATTGGGACCTAGATCTGGCATTGCAACTGCCTCAGAGTTTTCATAGACTTTACCTGTCACCCAATGGCTGGTCTTACATATATAGCTATGTAATTGTCGTTGTGTTTTTTTAAAGTAGTGTTCTCTCATGGTACAAACAAAAATCTATTATGTAAACATTTGGAAAGACATCTTATAGAACATTGTTACAAAACACCTATTGAGAACACAAAGAAAACCCAGCCGAAGAACCTCTACTGATAATTGCTCTTATTGGAATTTCTATTGAACTTTTTAGAGAATTAATTTTATATTTAACGCTATGGTCTTTGAGAGAGGGAGAAGAAAAAAAAGGAACATGAGGGGAAAATATATGACTCTATTGGCTGGGTTTTCCAGACTTACTATGGATTAATGATAGAGAATCCCAATACAAAAATTTAGCTGTACTTCATAAGGAAAAATGGCCATGTGTGCCTTCCTTTGAATTCAATTTGCTATTAACGGGAAAAAAATCATCCTACTGAACTGCTGACTCCAGTGCCAGCTGGGAGCAGATGGAGATGGGCATCCAGTTTTTGGAGACGCCTTACAGATAAAAATCAACGTTTCCCTTCTCCCACGGTGGCTTGCTCTGAGATTCCTCTCCACCCCCCAATCTGGAAACCTGGAGGAATTCAACAGTTCCCTGCAGGATTCTAGTCCCTACTCTGAGATCTGGCAACCCTGAATAAGACGCAGAGAAATGATTCTGGGTGTGACGGATAGATAAGGCATTAAACGCTCCAGGGTTGGGATGGTTTAATTCACAATTGACTACATGATGTAAAGGTTCGTGCAAATTAGCCCAGAGGTCTCCCCCCTCCCCCCAAAAAAACTGGAAGGAAGAGGAAGGAAAGGGAAGAGGAATACACAAGAAGATCCAGTCAGCAGGTGGCAGAGGGGAGAGGATGGGATTCAAGTGGTTAACAAGCTGCAAACAAGGCTTATTTCCACCCCCTCTCTCTGCTGACTCCTGTGCAGTCAGCTGAAGTGAATTCAATGGTCAAAAACCCGACTTTCTGGTGCGACTTCCAAGCAGATCCATTTGCATTTTTCTTGTGACTCCTGTGTGGTCAGCTGAAGTGAATTCAATGGTTGAAAGCTGACTTTCTGGTGCAACTTCCAAGCAGATCCATTTGCATTTGTCTTTCTGTGCAATCACACCCTCTGTGATGCACAATGTCTCTGCATCTCTAATCTCTACCCACCCAAGCAACCTCTTCCCATCTAGCATCCTCCAGACAGTGTGGTACTGCGGTTCCATCTTGCCAGGTGCTCCAGACAAAATCTGGGGAAGGTATTTACATGTGAGGAAGGGAGAGTCCGTTGAAAAGGGCTGTGGGATAAATTGTGGTACAACCATGGAGCCCATCTATCTAAGTAAAGCTGTGGGCTATAAGGCAGAAAATAATAGCTGCCTCTTCTTCCAGACATGCAAAGAATTTGAACACACACCAGAAATGTCTGGGAAGCAGTCAAGAGAAAATGTAGAAATACCCCCAGTTTGAAATGAAATATTAAAAAAACAGAAGACAACTTGTCACCAAAATGAAAGAGAGTGGGAATTGACGCTCAGGTGCGATTTGTTATAAAGTGTCTGATACTACCTTGAGCTTTGAAACAGATGTTAGGAACACCCCCACTGTTTCTCATTAACAATGACAGCCCTTTCACAAGCTTACAATTAATATGCCTAGCATTCACTCTTAGTGCTAATTACATCTAATATTTAATTAAGAGCAATGAGGTTTGGTAAGGTTTCACTCAAACAAAAACATGAAGAAAATGTTAGTGAGTTAGATGCAAATCTTGGGAAGGAGCATGTGAGATGCAAGGGCTACTTGGCCTGGCTCTCTCCCCATTCATACATTTAAGTAAGTACATTCAAGAACATTCAAATTTAATATTGCATGTATCCAGAAGAACAGAAACCATGTTGCTAGCTTTGGTACTTGCCCATTGAAGTGGCTTGTAGCCACTGACTGAGAAGACTCCATAAAGACATCATGAAAGGGACTTTTCTGAGTATACCTCTGCATTCACTGAAAATACTTTCCTATCAATGTCCAGTGGATATCCATCATGGAAATGACGAGACATATGTACTTTCCTTTAAAGGGGGTAGATGGGGTTAGCCTGCACTAGGACATGATCAGCTTCATCTTGATTGTACTATGTCTCTCTCAATTCCACCTGCATTTTCTTCTTGCCATTATCAAATGTCTTTGCATTTCTTCCTCTACTGAAATTTGCCCACCATTTTTACACAATTTCCATAGATGCCCATTTATGTGGACATTTTTTTTCTAGATTATGCATCTCTTCCCCATTGATTGAAGCATGTTTCAGTAATTTTTTTCCAGGTACGTACAGTTTAGCCCTTCACATTTTTTAATGTGGGGTCCTATGGATCATTGAGTACAGCTCCGTGCCAAAAAGGCACAGTGGGGAATCGAACTCTCAACCTCTAGCTCCAGAGCCAGATGCCTAAACCATTGTGCTCATATCCATCAGTTCTTGCACTGTAACTACTTGTTAGATAATTCTTCTCATAAATTTATAACTGCATGTTCCAGTTAATTAAAACTTAAAAGCAACTAATTACAGATAATTATGTTACTTGTAATCAGCTACTTCTGAGCTGTGGTCCAGCAGTCATCGAGTTCTTAATGCAGGGATTAGAACAATTCAGAACGGAAATGGCAAAGTTCAGTAATGTAATAACATAAGAATGAGCAGAACATTTTTTTTGCACTTGCTCCTTCGTTTATTTCTTTCAAAAGGACAGCAAAAGGTCAGTTGGAGCTAAGTATTTTGGCCTGAAATTTAATGAAATCCACATTTCAGCTCCAAAACATACCTCACACAGTAAGATATGAATATCAGTTTATTGCTTTCTGTTTATATGTTGAACCCTTTAAAAAGAGCATCTACGTTATTAGTTTGCACGTTTTCCAGAAATCTTCCATATCCTTATGCTTTTAAATGCCATTGTTTTAGACAGTCTGTACAGAACACCTCCCACCTCCCATTTATACCTAGATGGAGATCCAGACTACTTTATAGTATATAGATATAGAGTGTGTGTGGATAGATAGATAGATAGATAGATAGATAGATAGATAGATAGATAGATAGATAGAACTCTCTGTGTGAAATAGATGAAATAGCACAAGAGCTCTCTCTCTACACACACACACACACACACACACACACATAACTAAGGAAGTCTGTGAAAAGTGGAAAGTGAAAAGTGTTTGCACACAACGCAGAGAAGAGAAGATGCGACTCACGTAATGCTCATTTTTAAGCACACATTTGCAAAATGAAGTGTGTATAGATAGATAGATAGATAGATAGATAGATAGATAGATAGATAGATAGATAGATAGATAGATAGATAGATAGATAGATAGATAGATAGATAGATAGATAGATAGATAGATAGATAGATAGAACTCTCTGTGTGAAATAGATGAAATAGCACAAGAGCTCTCTCTCTACACACACACACACACACACACACACACATAACTAAGGAAGTCTGTGAAAAGTGGAAAGTGAAAAGTGTTTGCACACAACCCCAGGCAGAGAAGATGCGACTCACGTAATGCTCATTTTTAAGCACACATTTGCAAAATGAAACTGTATTTATTCCTTTCTTGCCAGGGAGGGAAAGCCAAGGAAAGCGGGAGACGCCACCCCTCCTCTTTCTGCGTCTGCTCACATTTGAAAAAGCCTAGCTTGCTGTTTTATTGTTTGTTTCTATTCTATTTTGGTTCCTCTTCTTCCCTCCGTTCTGCTCCTTTGGCAGGAGATATTTCACATGCTCGGAGAAAGCCGTATTCATGCTGTAGTTAAATGAGCCAAGCCACATCGTCTCCTCAGGGCATGGAAACAAAGCAGAAATGTGCAACGGAACAGGAGTTACCTCCTCCCTTCTCCCAAAATATACTCTGTTAACCTGTTGGTTGGAAG